CCCTCCTTGGCACAGGCTCCCTGGCATCACTGGTGGTTTGAATTACACACCCACACAGACACACACGACAGACTAGGCTAGTCCTCCAGGTTGCATCAATTGCTTCTTAGATCCCTTTTCTGAGTCCACTGTTCTGTGACTGCTGAGGAGTCCACTGTTGTCCCATTAGAATGTCATATACAGAAATAAAAAGGAATATATCGTCTTGAAAGCACTAAGCTAACAATTACAGGGGGAAAAATAATTTTTAAGGGTAAAGAAAGACAACATGAGGAGAATTTCAGGTTGATGATGATTCATTTATTCCACCAACATATATAGAACATTTATTATGTGCCAAGCACTGTGTTTCTTGCACAATAATGAGAACAACAATAATAATAACAGCTAACATTGTTGAGGCGTTATGATCACATAATGGATTTAGGCATGGGCCTGGCCCCGTGGCACTCAAATTCTGGCAGGAAGGCAAATGCTGAACAAATTATTACTAGTGTTATTGGTGTTTTGTGAAGCTATAGGGTACAATGGGAAGGTGTTACAGATGACCTAGACTAGGTTAGGGGTCAATGAAGGCTTTTCTGTGGAAGTACCATATAAGAGTTAGCTAGACAAAAGAAAGCAGAGGTGAGGACAAAGAAGAATCCAGGCACGCTGAAGACTATGTGTAAGAGCTGTGAGCAGGCAAAAGGTATGACATGTTGGAAGAACTGAGAGGACTGGCTGAAGCTTGGAAGGTTAAGGGGAAAGTGGAAAGATGAGGTTGGAGAAAAGGTAGAGAAGCAAGATCAAGCTGAACCTTAGAGGTCATGTGGGGAATTTACACTTTGTCAAGGGCAGGGGAGAGCCACGATGAGTGTTGAGTGATATGATCAGATTTGGGTTCTGAGAAGATTACTCTGAGTGGATTGGAGGGGGGAAGAGGGACCATGGGGTGAGCAGAAATGGTGGTGGCTCAGACTGGAGAGGTAGCAGTGTTTGTAAAACATCTTGACGTTAGAGTTGTTGTCAGGCTAACAAAATGCTTCCTCTTATGGAGTCTGGTTATTTATGTGTGGAGGAACATTCTATCCTCAAAACCTTGAAACCATTTCTTTCACAGACATTGTAGCTCCGTGAGGCAGACATGGAAGCAGATGAATGAAAGGCATAAAGAGGAAAAAACACAAAGGGCCAGTCCTGCCTGGAATGTGAGCCTGGTTCTGCTGGGTCCCCACCCTTTCTAGTGCCTTTGGGAGGTGGGATATACTGATGTGCTTAACAGAAAAAATGAAGTCCAGAAAGGCCATAAAACATTGCCATGGCATAATGGTGGAAGATGGATTTCTAAAAGGGATTCTTCTCACATGTGAGACAAAAGTATTTTAATTAATGATGCTATGGCATCTTACCTAAAGGAAGAGTTCATTTAGAAACTTGAGTCATAAACTATATTAATACCTTCTCCCACCTAAAATAAATTATCCAGCTCTTTTGTGATAAATGGTCTGACAAGGCCCTCATCTGCCTCGTTCAGAGAGTAATTAGCAATTAATAAATCTTCAAGCATTTTATTGAGCAACTATGTGATGAAGGCATTTGGAACATGATAGTGAATTAAAACAGTCGTGATTCTGGTTGACACGAAGCTTCCAGTCCAGTGAAGAAGCTGAGAGTCTAGCTTAGAGTGTAACAAATCATTACCCCACTAAATTTAAAACTGGAACTGTGATAAGATCTACAAAACAAAGGTATGTTTGCTATAAGGGCGTATTAAAGGAGAATCTGGCCTAGAGGGCAAGTTAGGGAATACTTTCTTGGGGAAGGGAGGACTCATCTAAGAGTGGGAGGATGACTAGAAACTGAATGGTGAAGGGAGGGTGGAAAGTAGTGGTAAAGTTAATTAACTTGACACTCATGGATAGAGCACCTACCAGGTGCCAAGTGTCAAGATAGGTAACTGTGAGGTACAAATGAATGAAACCCAGTTTGCACATTAGGGAAAATATCATGGGCTTTATCTTGCTTACTGTTGTCCGTAAGAATTTCATTGTTATTTTGACTACCTGAGTCTCAATTTATTATTCTGTAAAATAAGAAAATGACCTGTATTTTGGGGATTGTTGTGAACACTGAGTGTTTAAAATCCTTAGCTCATTGTGTGGCATGTAAGTAGCAAATTCTATAATGACCAGACTGAGGGAGGCAGTATGACACGGTGTCAGAAGCAGAGTCCTGCAGCAGTCAGAAGCTCAGTAGCTTATCAGACAGTCTGTGTTCAAATCCTAGGTTCAACATTTACTTGCTCTGGGACCTCGGGCAAGTAACAGCCATTCCAATCTTCAGTTTCTTCATCCGTAAAAGGAAGATAGTAGACATGCTTTATATGTTTCTTGGGAAGATCAAAGGAAAGAGTGAGAAAGGTTCCACAGATGGCATATTACGTATGTGCAAGGTTCTGTATCAGCACAGGTGAATTAGAAGTTAACTTTTTGTATTGTTGTTCTAGGTAGGAGGATGGAATTTGATAAGACCAAAGAGATGACGCAGAAAGTTTTGATCTAGATCTTAAAAAATGATTAGATATTAGGCAGACAGAAGACTGATAAATTTGCCTTGTTCAAGCTGTAGGGCTTTGATTTACTGGTGAGAATTGACGGAGTGTTGCAGACTTGAGGAGAAAAATTTAAAACACTGGTTGTTTCCTTGTAATAAACACCTTCACTCCAGTTGCTGCCATGAACTGGGGGGAACAGATGATATGGTAGATACCAGCCTGAGCTTTGAAATCAAACAGACTTGAGTTCTAATCCAGTTCATACTACTTCCAGCTTTGTTCCCTTAAGCCAGTTACTTCACTTCTCTGAGCTCGAGTTACTTATCTTTAAAAAGGAAATAATAGTAGTGCCCCACCTCATGAAGCTATTATGAGGACTAAATGAGTATTCATTAATGTCAACTATAGTCATTGTTGATGTTTCACTAAGGTTAAATTGCCATAAAACTCTAGAATGTGCTCAGTGCATGGAAGAGTTACATTAAACACAGGGGTATTCCTTATCACCTACTGAGCAGTGGGATATACAGAGAAATACTAAGAACAACCCAATGGGGAGTTCCAGTGATTGCAGGTATTGATCTTTGTGGCCCCAATAACTAGCATATATAGTAGGCTCTCGATAAATGCTGAATAAATGAGTGGTTTATTTGGGGGATTTTTTTAAAAATGCTATTGCTACTTATAAATATGATCCCTGTTTCTATAGAAGATACAGAAATGAATGAATGAATGAATAAACAAATATACCCATAATTTCACCATCAATGAACCACCATTGTTAATGTCTTGCAATCATTTCTTCCAAAGTGTGCGTGTGTGATCATTTATATAGGATGACATATGATCACAGCATGGAAAATTAACATGATCATTAATTTGGAACAAACCACCCAAAAGCTTGGTTTTGTTTTTTTCCATTTGTCATGTAATCATTTGCCTTGTTTCACTAAGTATGCTTCCCAAACACGATTTGTACATGGCGTAGCATTCTAGAAGGGTGTGCCATTTTTTTTTTTAACTCTTCTTATATTGTTACCCTCTCCATTGGTACCTGAACCTTCTTGGGTTGTAAACAACTTGAAAATCTAATTATTAAAAAATATCTCTATTGCTGTGTTGTATTTGTGAAAAGCTGTCGAGCCAGCTCCAACTCATAGCAACCCCGTGTGCAACAGAATGAAATACCACCCCGTCCTGCGCCACCCTCAGGGTCCTGGCTGTGTCTGAGCCCATCGTTGCAGCCACTGCGTCAGTCCGTCTCATTGAAGGCCTTCCCCTTTTTTGCTGACCCTGTACTTTACCAAGCATGACATCTTTCTCTAGGGACCAGTCCCTTCTGACAACGTGACCAAATTATGTGAGACGAAGTCTAGCTATTCTTTTCTTGCTTCTGAGGAGCATTCCAGCAGCACTTCTTCCAAGACAGATTTGTGTTCGTCTGGCAGTCCATGGTATTTTCAGTATTCTTCCCAAACACCACAATTCAAAGGCATCAGTTCTTTTCGGTCTTATTAACTGTCCTGCTTTCACATGCATAAGCAGCTACTGAAAGTACCATGGCTTAGGTCAGACACAACTTAGTCTTCCAAGTGACATCTTAGCTCCTTAACACTTTCAGAGTCACTATGAGCCCACTCAGTGACCCCTAATGACACAATGTTTCAGTATTTTTATAATATGGTCCAATCTCAGTTCATTCCTATATTTGAAGTAGTTCAAGTTTTAAATTCCATATTATTGCCCCTCTACAACTTTCATGGAATAATAATTCTTCATGCGATGTGTCTCTATTATTCTTCGTGACAGAAAGTCCCTGCAGGGCTCCAAATGTACTACCTCTCCTCACTGTGAGGTCTTGCATGCTGGAGACCTATATCATAGACCATTGCATTTAAGCAAATATGCAGCATGAGTCGGCACTTTATAATAAAGTTACTTTAAGGTAACAGGCCATTTCATAATAAGGCAAAAATAAATCCACAAACTTAAAAGGTAATATGGCATTAAGAGAGATAGGCATAAAAGAGATGTATTCAGTGTTGCCATGTACTGTGATCTCAGGATGCAAGGTTTAACTTGGCTTTGTGATCTAATTTATTAAATAGGATCATTTATTATCCTGATTGTATTCTTTGTGTGCTATGTGTTGCACAATGACAAGACTAATTCCACATGCGAAATCATACAGTTTCTAAAGAATTGATAGCTTCTTAATATAAAGAGTGTCTCATATTTTTGTTTGTTGTTCCATCCGTTTGCCTCTGAAGTTGTAACAATTACTGGCAGGAAAGCTGGCCTGAGGGAGCACACATGCCTGTGCCTACACAGTTCTATGGACGTGTTGATGCCCGTGTATGTTTTCAAAGGTTAAATTACTGTTAGATTCCAAAGAGCAATGGAAAAGGATATTTTTGAAATAGGAATAACTTATATTAAAGACATTTCTTTTTCTTCCCCATAGCTCCATCATCCCTCCCAAGGCTTCCGCTTCGGAACTGTCCGGGAAAGCAGTGCTGAAGATTACGTGAGGCAAAGCTTTCCAGAGATGCATGAGTATATGAGAAGGTACAACGTACCAGCCACCCCTGATGGAGTGCAGTACCTGAAGTGAGTATCAACCTGTTGGGTCTAAAACGTTCTCAGTCACGAGAAGTCATTTAGTTACTGACATAGTATTTGCTGGATTTTGAAATTAACAGCTACCTATACCCACTATGTAGGAGCTCTGGTAGCATAGTGGCTAAGGCACTTGACTACTAACCAGAAGGCTGGCAGTTCAAACCCATCAGCCGCTCCTCGGAAGGAAGATGGGACAATCTACTTCCGGAGTGATACTGCCTCAGAAACCCAAGGAGAGGTCGCTATGAGTCAGGTCCGACTCAACAGCACATAATAACAACAACAACAACTGCCTCGGAAACCCAAGGAGGGGTCGCTATGAGTTGGGTCTGACTCAACAGCACATACCAACAACAATAACATACCCACTGTGTGTTCACTGGTATCTCACACTGTGTGAGACCCAAGAGGCCATGTGGGAGAGTGCACACTGAGTTATGTGACCTAGATTACTAGTTACCTGTGTAGTCCCAAGTTGGCAGTAGCCAGTAGGGTCATTAGTGAAGCAGATGGTGAGGAAAGCAAATGTTGGCTTGACATCACTTGGGAAAACAATGGTGTCAAAATGATCAAACACTCGGGGAATGTGGCCAGAGGATAAAGTGTCCCAGAACAATCCTTCCTTCACAGAGAATTGCTAAGCCCATGAAATGCCTTCTCTTGACACAAGGAAATGGAATTTATCTTAGAGATTTCCTGTAGAAAGGAAATAGGCGAGAAGGCAGTGATTCCCATGCCTGCATCTTTCTCATCAGAATTTATGAGAAGCAATCAAGAGCAATCACATTGCCACGGCAGATTATCAGAGCCTGTAATTCAGTCCAGCTGAATGCAAAGGAGGCCGTGCAGCTCTGGGTCTGCCCACGGAGTTGGCCTGAGAGGGAATGAATGGCTCCGGATAAGCACCACAGCATGGAGCTGAGCAGTCCTGTCCCTCCCGCCTCACGGCATCAGGACGGTGATGGGCATTCAAACCGCCCACCCCTGGAACCGCACAGCCTCGGAAAACTGGCTTGGCCGTGGTCAGCCACAGTAATTTTTCCAATGGCCAGCTACAAAGTCTTTTTTCAAGGAGGGGAAATAAATAATTTCAGGGGACATAAGGCGTTTGTGTTTCTCAAGCGCTCCAGTAATAGGGCCCTTAAACAATTTTATGGACTTTTAACTAGAGCCTAGAGAGGAAGCCTTGTACTCCCGGATTTGCAGTTATATATGCTGTTAAAGTACTATGAAATGGCACTTTTAATTTTGCAAGAACATAAAAAGATTAGATTCCCTTTCTGATACAGAATTGAGGGCTCTTTTACCTCCTAGCTCCTGCTCTGCATTCTCTCTTTCCAGCAAATTCATGCCTGAGAGAGATTGTCAGACGGATAGCAGTGGCTCCCAGCTGGGTAGCAATGGCTGGCACACTGGGCTGTGCTGGGAGGATGGAAGTAGGAAGTGGTGGCTGAGCTACCACTCCAGTCCCGAGTTCCACACCAGTCAGTGCATGCATTCTGGAGGCCTCACTCCAGGAGCCCCATGCCAAGAGTTGGCCCTGCCCTTGCCACCCAAGAGACAAGCCGTCATTACAGAGGGAGGTGCAGGTGGACAACCTGAGGTCCAACAGCAGTGACCTCTCCACGGTGACACAGCTAGCAGGGGGCAGAGGCAGGGCTAGAATCAGGTCTCTGGGATCCAACTACTGCTGCAGGCTAGTGTAGGCACCATTGTGGAACACTGTGTCCCTGCTCTTCAAAAACCTGTCACGTTCCATCACCACTGGTAGCACCTGGGAGCCTGACAGAAATGTAGACTCCCAGGCACCCTCTGAGACCTGCTGCATCAGAATCTGTTTCAACAACCTCCCCAGTGACTCACTGATCAAGGGGAAGTTGGAAAACAAGCAGAGCTTACCATTAATGCCGACTCACAACTCTCTGAGCCTCCTCTCCACTTTTGACCTAGTCATTACCTATGCTCTTAGCTACCACAGTGGCGCCAAGCAGCCACCGGCCTTATGTTTCACCCCGATACCCCAGAGCCCTGACCTACAGAGCACAACTCCTCTCCCAGGCAATCTCCTGTACAAGGCAGATTCCTATACTTGTTCCTTCCCCCTCACATCAAAATCCCCCTGGGCTTCATCCTGTTCCCTTAGTGCCCACTTTCTGGAGTGAGAGTTGTCCAACAAGTCAACCTTTATTAAAGTGCTCATTTATTTTTGTATGTTAATATATAACTGTTATCTGTGGTATATGTATTTTTAAATGGATGGTCAAAGAGGGAGAGCATGATTCTGTAATGGAAACAACAACTGGAGGCCCTGCAGCTACAGGGTGCAACCAGTCTAGAGGTTATGTATCCCTGGGTCCTACTGCCCAGTTCCTCACCTTACCTTCCTTGCAGTAGAGTAGAGACCTGTCATTTCTAGCTGCACTTTGCAGTCTAAACTCAGGAGTAGTTATTTAAGGATGCCAGTGACACCAGACCTCAGGGAATTACAGGTTATCAAAACTGAACTGAATCTCAATTTTTTTCTGTTGTCATATTGCTACCACAGATATTTCTAGACTATTGGCGAATGGTAACTGGTTGCCTTGTGGCAGTAAAACTTTGACTAGAGTATCTTTCAGCTCCATTTTTATTTTATTGCCAGGATTCCATTATGTTTCCTCAGCAGCAGCTCCTAGGAAACAAGTCACATCCCCAAACTTTCCCGAAGCTCCCTGCTACTACGGAGCTTAGACATGTTTTTGTTGTGACTAAGGTTAAGCACAGGCAAGGGGATGCATTCTGGATTAACTATTACACTTTCTGGGAGAGAGTGGAAAGCAGCAGCAACGGTCATTGGAACCTAAAAGGGAAGTTGACCTACTTACTGTGTCCATGTGTAGCCCAGACACAGTCATCCATATAAATATGTCCTGCCCAATGATGCCTCCCACAGGTGTCTAGAGATGTCTTTTTAAATTTTTGATGGACCCTAGCCATGTTCTCTGAGTTTAGAGACCACTTCTCTGTGGTGAATTTTAACAACTTCACTCCTGGCTCTTATTGAGGAATGACGGAGCCGAGATGGAAGAGGGGAGAGTTGTTCTCTTTGCAAAGCTGTCTGGACAACCTTGAGACAGGGAAGGAAAGCCTTTCCAAAAAGGATTTGAGGTGGCTAAAAACAAGAGTCATTGCATCAGTTTGGACAGTTCTGCTTTAAACACTTCCCTCCTTGCCCTCTGTGTAAGTGTGAGTCCAGCCCATGTGGAGACTTTGCCCTCCTGTGGACAGTCCTTGCAGCTTCTGTTAAAAAATGGGATAGACTTTCATGAAGGATGCCCAAGGCCCAGCCCATTGCCCATTCACTGATGCAGTCCAGGGGCACGTACTTTAAATGATTCCTGCCTGAACTTCCTACTGGGATGGGAGTGAAGCAAAAATTTCTAGAGACACAGGTAGTCCCCAACTTACAATGTATTGTAGATACGATGAACAACACTTATGACCATCTGGTGGGTTTTTTTATATATATACATCTTATCATAAAGACAATATTGCAATGTGTAATCTGCTGATGTTATCATTCTCATATGTTCACATACAGATGCTCAAAGAAGGGATTTATAAAGATACTGATAATGAAAAAGCAATAATAATGAAAACTAAAAACAAGGAGAGAGAGAAAGAGAGAAACATATAACTTACATCTGAACCAACTTACGATGGAGTCATCAGGACGGAACTCCATCATAAGTTGGGGACCACCTGTACACTAATAAAGGAAGTCACTGAGGTCTATTATATAAGTTTCTCCTTCTCTTTATTAAATGCTAACCTATAGAGTTTAAGAGACAGCAACTCTCTTTTCCCCAGGATTCTTAGATCTCTTATTTTTATATTCTTTATACCTCCTCCTACATATGAAATAATGAAGAATATGACAGTGATTGTGACAGAAACAAATAAAGATTTCCATGGGCTGATTGGTGAGACCACCTGACTCCAGCACCACACAACCTGATCAAGTTACTCAGACTCTCTGACCTTCAATTTCCTTATCTGTTCAAAGGAAATAACACAGTACTACCTACTTCATGGTGCTTATTACTAATTAGTGATAAAATGTATGTAAAACAATGAACAAAATCCCTGCCACAAAGAAGTTGCTCAGTCAGTGTAAGAGGAATGAGACTTCTCTATGCATCTCGTTCACTTCAGAATCACCCTGGATTTCTTGTGGGATTTAAGTAATGAACCCCAAAACCAAACCCATTGCCATTGGGTGGATTTTGACGCATGGCAAGCCCGTGTGTCACAGACTAGAACTGAGTCCAGGTTTTCTTGACGTCATCTTTCTGGAGGCAGATCACCAAGCCTTCCTTCCACGGCACCACTGAGTTAATTCAAACCACCAACTTTTTGGTTAGCAGCTGAGCCCAAACCATTTGTGCCCCCAGCAGCCTCTCTAAGTAATGAAAGGGACAGGTAAGTCAAACCATTGGCGAGGCATCCCACTCATGTGTAAGAGTGCCTGTTCCACTGCTTTGCACTCTGTAGCTCAGGAAGATGCCAGGAAGGCTGAGTCGGCAGCCAGCTAGCCTACGTCGTCCCGAGTTTCCAAGTTTCCGTCCCCTAAACAAAAGCCAACTGTCAGCCTTAGCACTTCCTGTGCATTAATGAATATCATTTTTTTTCCTTTTTTTCTCTTGGTCTTAAATATAGGAATGATCCAGAAAAACTTGACGCCTTCATCATGGACAAAGCCCTTCTGGATTATGAAGTGTTAATAGATGCTGACTGCAAACTGCTAACCGTGGGGAAGCCATTTGCCATAGAAGGTAGTAATCAGTCACTCTTGATTCTTTCTTACTCGGGATGTGCTCCGTTGGCCCTCCTAGCAAGTCACAAATGCCAGCGTCACAGCCAAAGAGCTGTTCGTCTTCCCTGTTTTTATTTCTGACTCTTAAGTATTTAGCTATTAGGTTGCTGAATTTAGGAATTTATTTTTCACCTACTCAACAAACATGTATTTGCCCAATTTTCAGCAAAAGCAAAACACACTGTTGTTACCCAAAGATGTTGCTTCAGATATCTGGGAGCAGGGGCCAGGATAATAAATGAGAGCTTGATTTAAATTTAATTGGTATTTTCTAATCTTAAATCCTGGAATGAATCCAACGCAGAAGCTAAAATGATTACATTTTATAACTGGAAGGACTCAAAGTCCATGTAATCCAATCCACTCACTTCATGCAAAAGCAAGCCAAGGGACATTGCATGATCACACAGTTACATGGTGATACTGGGCTCAGAATCCCAATCTCATGGTTCTTAATTCAGTATTTTTCTATAGTTGGAAAACAGCTAGGGGAAAAAAAAAATCTCTCATTCTGTAGCTTAGTCCCCTAAACTAAACCTTGTTCGGGACCTCAGGTTTGCCTTCCTACTCACTAACATCAAATGTTTGCTTCCAACTTGATCAACCAATCAATCAAACTTGAGGGCCAAAGAAGGACTGCTACGTCAGTAGCCCCTTTTATTCCTGACAGTTGATATACAGAGCTGATAGTTTGAACCAGCAAATTTCACGGCTCCCAATTCCCAGCATCCCTTCCCTGACAGTACATGTTGGCTCTCCAGACAGCTAAGCTCACTTGTCAGAAAACACCGGCTTGCAACAATCCCATAGGAGTCCTCAAATCCTGTTTCTGAAAACCTGTACTTTCTGTTTGTTAACTACAGTATCAAGACTATTCTGATGGCAGTTTCCCAATATTCTAACCACAGTTGGTCTCTCTGTCTTCCCTAAACACATCAGTAGATTTTTTCCACTTCAGTCTGTTTTTGTGATGAATGAGAACGCAACGGCTGATGTTGTTTCTTCATGCCTTTCTTTCCCAGGAGAAAGCAATCTCCTTTCCAGACCAAGTGACCCCCATCGGAATGGGGTGGAACTCTGGGAGAGAGAGATTTCATGATAGTGGCCTTTTATAGGACTTGGAAGGGAAAAGCTAGGCAACCAAATGAACATATATTATACAATCCTGTTCTGATGAAACCATGGAAAAATTCCCAGGTTGTGGCATCTGAGGATACGGAAGGGATGTTACATTTTATTTTTGTCCTAGATGCACTGGGCAATTGAGGTCCCTTCTGCTATTAGCAGCTACTAACTATGAATCTTGTGTAGCGGGCATAAAAATGAGGGCCTCCGTTCTCCACCTTTATCTTCAGGGGGTCCCCTATCTTGTCAAAAGGCAGTGGTGAGATGGCTTGTTTGCCTCCTCTAGACCCCAGTGCCAGATGCCACACAATTAACTCCCCACTGGTTTCCTGTTTACATTTCCATCTGTGCTCGTGAGACTCAGTTTCATGCAGTTCCCATCATCTCTAGACACCACATTGTTTCCAAAGGGTATAAACACAAGATGGCGCACGGAAGGGCTCTCTCTGGGAAAGAGCCAGAGACTGCAGATCTGAATAGAGAGCATTGTGATCATTGCTGGTTTATTCTCAGAACAAATGGAGTGCAAATCCCAAAGTGTAAGTCAATCCTGCCCCTTCCAACAAGTTCACAACCTCAAAACAGAGCTTGGCATAACAAAGCAGGAGAGGGGCAATACTTACAAACTGCAGACAACAGTGTCAAGCAAATACTAGTAAAAGTCTTGATTCTGCTGTTTTTTAAGAATGGTAATCTCATAGCTTTTTAGGAAAGTATTTTGCTCTTTTAATGAATTTTTTTTTAATTTTTATGAATTTCTAAAAAAAATATAGACTTTATTATTAATGAATTAGACAGTATAAGCATAAAAAAGCCATCAAAGCAATTTATGTCCAATACTTACCCATTTAGCTTAAAGGAATGTCTTACATGCCTGTCTGTATCCCTTCACAGGGTCTAGTACAATGCTAGGTATATTAAAAACACAAAAACAAAACTCACTACCAATCGAGTCGATGCTAACTCAAAGCAACCCCCTTTGGGTTTCCAAGGCAGTAAGTCAAGGTTGGGCAATCTACTTCTGTAGTGATACTGCCTCAGAAACCCAAGGAGAAGTTGCTATGAGTCGGGTCTGACTCGAGGGCATATAACAACAACAAATCTTTATGGAAGTATATTGCCCCATCTTCCGTCCATGGAGCACCTGGTGGGTTTGAACTGCCAACCTCCTGGTTAGCAGTCAAATGCCTTAGGCACTACACCACCAGAGCTCCATAGGTATATAAAAATTAGGTGATAAATGATGCATTACCTATTCGCTAACTCATTAGGTTAGATTTGAAACAAGTATGTAACTCACTTACTAATGTAGTTAATTGAAAAGCATCCTGATAATCTGCATATACTTTCCAAGTACTTAAATGAGTTAAGAAATTAGGAGGGAGAACAGAGTTCACTGATTCGTTCTATGTTGTATTGATACCAACTCAGTGTAATGACTGAATACTCCCCCTCAACTTCACCATTCTGCATTTATTTAATTGAACAGGTGAAAGGAAGCCAAATGAGAGACAATGGCTCCACGTTAAGTCTGAGACTCTCAGGGGCACTCTTTGCTACCAGAGAGCACACAGCAGAGCAAACCAAAATGATTAGGAATTCAAGAGCATGTGGAAAGACTTCAGTCCTGTTACATACCATACACCAAGGACCAAGGACGTATCATGTGCTCAGGAAATAAAAAAGTGCAGAAGTAAATGAACACAGGTTCTGAAGTTATGCATTGGAGCTACTGACAATAAAGGTCAAGTGAGGAGAGAGAGTAATGGGCATTTTTCTGCAAAGATCTTTGCCTGTTTTTGAGTTTGTTCTTTCACTTTCTTTCAATAATTATCAATACACTGCTTAGAGTCCTAGCTCTGAGTCCGAGTGCCTGGCTTAGAATAGAACTGCTGTCTAGTTGTGACAGTGGGCAAGTGACAGGAGTATCCTCCAGGTTCCCCATCTGCCCAATAAACCAAACTCACTGCTGTCGAGTCAGATCCCACTCATAGCGACCCCTCTTTGGGTTTCCCAGGCAGTATCACTATGGAAGTAGATTGCCCCATCTTCCTTCCGAGGAGTGGCTGGTGGGTTTGAACTTGCCAGCCTTCTGGTTAGCAGTCAAACACCTTAGGCACTAAGCCACCAGAGCTCCCCATCTGCCTAATGGGAATATTAATAGCACGTCTACGATAGTGTTGTTACGATACACGTAATGCATGTAGAAGCATGCCAGGCACATAGGAAGGAATCAATAAATTATTATTATCAGTACATTGGAGTGAAAACTCAACACCAGTTAGCTATAACATTCTCACAGCATAGCCTTCTATACATCTTGCCTTCTCTCACACACTTTTCTCCTCATTTTGATGTGGTGAAGTAAGGGGAACCCATTTTTACAGTTGTCTTTACAGTCAGGACTACTACCATGTGCTCTGAGCCAATGCCCAGAGTAGCTAAATGTGCTGTTCCCAGGACAGACTGCAAAACTGAATGGACCTTTTCTTATCCTGAAGTGTTTTTTGACCCTTTATGAGATTTTATTTTCAAAATGTCTATTTTCCAACCACATTTCAGGGAAATTCTGCTGTTAATCTATGGATTTCTAAACGTTTACTAGCCAAATTGTATCTCCACCACTGATAGTTGAGTAAAACTGACTTATCCAGGGAGAAAAGATCAGGATTCTATTCTGAAAATTGTTCTCTTGGGCTATTAAGCTGTATTCAATTTCCAGGGAGCCTGATGCCTTCATCTTTAGGGTTGAAGGATTCCATTTTGCTTCATCCGTCAACCACACAATAGTCAACCTCATCTTTATTGCAGAGACACATTTCTAATGATAATGAAAGCAACTCAGGCTGCTCTAAGTTGAGTCAGCAATTTAGAAAGAATTCTATGACCAATGAACACAATCAAATTTGAAAAGCAACTGATAAAAATGAGGGTGGAAATGAAACAGTCAAGGTTTTACTTTATTACATTTCTGAGTAAAAGAGAGTTTTACTTTTTTTTAACACAATCCTCTTCTTGTCTCCACATAGCTTTTTTTCCCCTATATATCCTGTTTCCATCTGTAGAGGTTTTTTTTTTAATTATCAAATAATAATGCCAGCAAAATCATTAAAATATCAACATTCAGTATAACTATTAAGATAGAAAATTTTAAATGATAGCAACCTATTTTTAGCAGTCAACTGCAATTTAACCTAGACATGATGGAGTACAGTGATTTAATATTTATAATTTCCTATCTAACGATTTTTTATAAATATCACTACAACTTTCACATAGCATTTTTCCCTAGGGTAATTTTAATGCTTTCATTGCAGTACCAAAATTCTGTTCTTCTAATATGTACAAAATTTATCTGAAGTATTAACTTCCAGTTTTTAAACTTCTAAGCATACATTTTTCTCTCATCTACCCAGACTCAATCCAAGGCTCCCAAACCCCAAACTCTGATCTGGTAACACTCTCTCATTCCTCTGAACTTGCTCAAACTTCTCTCTCCTCCTCATTGAGTTCCAATCATTGGAGGTTTACCTTTATTGAATTTATGCCTCATTTACCTTTGCATTCCAAATCAACATCATCAACTTTCTACCACGTTGTGTTGTTATTTAAATATGCCTCACCTCCTCCATGCCACCAGAAGCTTCTTAGGGATAGACTGTGTGTCTAATGTAACTTGGTAACCTCCAGAGCGTTTGGTAGAGTATCTGGCCCAGAATAAGCATCTGTGGAATTAATGAATAGATGATAAATGCTTATCAAATGGAAAATGAAAAGCAGTTCTGCAATTCGTACACAATTCTGGACTGGAATTTTTGGTTTTAATAGGATTTT